TTATTTTAAAGCAAATCCTGGGGGTCATATCATTTCATCTGTAAATGCAAGAAGCTCTGAAATTGGATTCATTTGCTCACACTGTGTCCTCTGCTTGAAATGTTTATCCCTTGCTCTTTATATGGCTGGTTCCTTCTCATCTTTCAGGTGAGACCTTTTCAGAAAGATCTTCCCTGGTCTCCCTGTCTAAAATAACTCACCTTCTACCTGAACCCAGCTACTTTTTGTCCTGGTAATGTGGGCCCTGGGCTTTTATATCATTTTCCACAATTTGTAATTATTAGTTACTGGTTTTTGTCTGTCTTCTCAACTACATTCTCACTGCTACTGGCATAGTGCTATCAGTGTCTGGAAGGTGATTAATAAATGATAGCTCCTCATTAATGAAGCATCTGAACAATCAGCTTTTCAGAGGTCAACAATGAACATTTCTCTTATATGTGGTGATGGTCTGGATACCCATCAAAGATGAGTTGGTATTGCTTTTCCAGAGTTTTCTATAACCTTATCCTAAAGTATCAAGTAGCCAATAGAAGTAGTTCTTCTTTTGTATGTTTTTGTAAGAGTTATGGAATGTTATAAGTGAAAGAGACTTGAGAAATAACCTACATTCATAGGTCTGTGGCTTTTAAAATGAAAAGAATCCTTAGAAAACATTTTGTTGAACCGATAACAGATAAGAAAAGTTTGTAACCCATATCTAATGTTGCAGAATTTGTGATTTACAAATGGCCATAATCTGAAACCTTCATCTAGAAAAATAGTCCATTTACTTGAGTGAGAATTAAACCTCATAAAATATCAGAAAAATAACTCAATTTTATACTATCTATATACATAGTATACTCAGTTAAGTCATTTATTTGACAAATATTTATTTCTAACCCATTATGTTCCAAAAACCATTCTTACAGCTGCATCAGTGAACATAACAATAAAGCTTACACTCTAGCCCATGTGTCAATATCGTAAAAGTACATCCTCTTGAATTTGCTATAGGATCATCTTAAGGTAATTTAGAAGAAAACACTTTTTATTATGTACTCAATAAAGGCAGAATACAGCATTTCCTTATCATCGAGCATATAATACCAAAAGCCCAATGTCATTATTTAGCTTCTTTGCTTTCTAAACTCTGATGAATGAGCCCCCTCCACACCATAAATTTGCAGTAAGCTGGTGGCTGGGATTGGTGAGAACATTTTACCCCAGGAGCTTCCCTCCTGTGGACTCACTGATGTGCAAAGTGACTGCAGGAGCCCAAACCTTGTATAACAACCCTGGGATGGAATAAGATGCACTGTTGGGTCCAGAAGTGCCCAAAACACCTAATACATACACATTTGAGTTTCAGATGACCCAAAATCAATCATTGTGCCACATCTGATTCATTTTCTTCTTATCCTTCTTCTTTTTTTTTTTTTTTTTTTTTTTTTTTTTTGAGACAGAGTCTTGCACCGTCACCCAGGCTGGAATGCAGTGGTATGGTCTCAGCTCACTGCAATCTCTGCCTCCCGGGTCTGGACAATTCTCCTGCCTCAGCCACCCTAGTAGCTGGGACTATAGATGCCCACCACAATGCCCAGCTAATTTTTGTATTTTTAGTGGAGATGGGGTTTCACCATGTTCACCAGGCTGGCCTCAATCTCCTGACCTCAGGTAATCCACTGCCTCAGCCTCTCAAAATGCTGGAGTTACAGGCATAAGCCACCCCACCTGGCCCTGCCAAGTCTGATTCATAAAGAAAGCTAGCCTCCATCCCATTTTCTCCAAAAACTTATGTAAACTATTCTATCCACTTTCCTCACAATTCATTCACTCTTGTCAGAGCACTATTCCCAAGGTGTAGTTTGGGAAATATGGGTGTCACACTGATACTTTCTTCTACATTGGAGATAGGGTCAGAGGCAACCTCAGAAGTGAAGGGGCAGCAGCTAAGGAGGTGGGGACAAGCAGCAAGAGGGAAGGTAGGATTGGAACAAGACTGGAGCAGGTGCAAGAGTCTCTCCTATCATCGCAGCCTGATGTCACTCCTCTGATCTCTGTCTCTCCAGAATTCTCTTCCACCTCCACCAAATGCAAGGGAGTTTTCCTAATTCCCTGATAAAAATTATTCTGATTCTCTGGATATTTGCTTAGCTCTCTAGTGATGTTTCTGGGAACTCTAGTTAGACTTGCTGCTTTACCTGCAGTCCAGGAGGTATCCACTCTGTGTGATCACAACACAACAGAACAGGAAAGTCAGCCTAATAGTGTGAGATTTTGAAACAATCAAGCTACAGTAATTTTGTGTTACCCCTCTAGAAAAGAAAATAACATGTACTGCATTTTTAGAATTATAAAATAATGCAAATGTCTTATTTTAACAGCTCAGATCTCAGTTGCCAAGTAACAAAACCCACAAGTTCTCTGCATTTTCCATGAGCTTTCAAAGTTTGTTTCTGGCATACTTCATGGCAAGGAGGAACTTGTTGCTAAATATATTGAGTGTTCTCCCACAAGAAATTTGGGGACTTCTCAGAAAAACCTGGGAGGTAGAAGGGGTGATTGAAAAGTCACCACTAGCTTTTCCTTTTGAGCCGTTAAATCTTTTACTAATGAAAGACAAAGACTAATTGTTCTTCTCCAGGATGAATGTTGCTTTGAGAAGCTAGAGGCATTTCTGAAAAGATGCAGCATTACCCTGGTGAGTTCAAGAAAGGGCATGTTGGAGAACACCACCAAGATTCTATCTTCCTTGTAGTTTTCAAACACTCCTAAACCTGCAAAATTCTAGTCAGTGCGCAGAACTAGATGTCCAACCCTATGTCTTGTCTCTCTGTCCCATACTCTTGGTGAAAATCAACATCGGCCTCCTCTAAATTCTTGTATACCTTATTCTCAATATAAGCTCTGGGTACTCATCATACGCTTCTCTGCTACTGGTGAACGCTGTGCACTTGTGATACCCCTAACTAGATGGACAAGCTTCCACAGGGCAGATATTTCTTATATTTCTTGTTTAATCCCCCACTGGCCTAGGAAAAATGCTCTATATGTAACTTCTAAATAAAAAATTTATTAAGTGACTAAATATACCATATATGCCTAAGCTAAAGGAACAAAAATATTATATGCCCCAAGTTCTCTGTTTCTTTCCCTAAATAACAAACACACACAAACACACACACACACACACGCACACACACACACACACACCCCTATAAATACTAACAGGAAAGCCTATTCTTTATTTCCATTAGCTTCCATTTCTAACTTCTTTTGGCCTACACTGATGTGTTATAGTAAAATACGTGAGGCCAGGCGCGGTGGCTCATGCCTGCAGTCCCAGCACTTTGGGAGGCCGAGGTGGACAGATCACCTGAGGTCAGGAGTTCGAGACCAGCCTGGCCAGCATGGCAAAATCCTTTCTCTACTAAAAATACAAAAAATTAGCCAGGCATGGTGGTGCACGCCCCCAGATATTTGGGAGGCTGAGGCAGGAGAATTGCTTGAACCTGGGAGGCAGAGGTTGTGGAGAGCCGAGATCAGACCACCGCACTTCAGTCTGGGTCACAGAGGGAGATTCTGTCTCAAATATAAAAATAAAAAAATAAAAAATTATATATATATGATTTATATAATAAATTTTTATGTACATATATTTATATGTACATATACTTATACATAAATTTATATGTAACTATATGTGTGTGTGTGTGTATATATATAGTAGTAAAGGGGCCTGTACTTAGTTACACACTGTTTGTCTTCAATTCCGTGATTCCGTAGAATCACAGTGTTCCATGGCTTTCTCCCTGTTTCTTGTTTTCTGGTCTCCTTTGCGGGCTCCTGCTGTGCTCCATCCCTTGGCTGCTTGCACTCCTCAGAATTGTGCCCATGTTCCTGCCTCAGCAATCACCCTAGAGCATCCCATCCATTACCATCTACATGCTGGTGACTGCCAATTTTCTGTCTTTAGACTAGCACTCTCCTCTGAGTGCCAGGCCCACAGAACTAACTGCCTACTGGACTTCTGCATATAGTGTCCCGTAGACACCTCGAACCCCACATGACGCAAACCCGAATCATCTTCCTCTCCAAATGTACTCTCAGGCCTGTGTTCCTGATCTTTGAAAATGATCATTAAGCCAATTACCTAAAGCAGACACCGTCCCCTTGACCTGGCTAACCACCGGTTATCAATGGCTGCTGGCTCTACCTCTCCCATATATCCCTTTCTCTCTATGATCACCAGGCTAGTTAGGCACCAGTGTCTCTCACCATATTACTGCAGTCTTATTCTAACAGGTCTCTCTACAGATGTATGGGTTTAACCCTTTCAGGTCATATAATGCTGAGGTCAGAGTGATCATTCTAAAATAAAAATTTGATCAATTCCTTAACTCGACTTACAAACTTTTATGCAACCTCATCCAGCCCCAACACTAGCCTTCTTTCTATCCCATCTAAATGTCTTTCCTACATCAAATGTGCCACGCTCTCTCTTATTTTTGTCTTGGCTCATGCTGTTGCGTTGGCCTATCACACTTTTTCTGACCCCATCCCAGCTTTGTCTTAATGTGTATTCTTCATTTTAGTCTCTGTCTCTTCCAGGAAACCCTTTCCAGCTCCCAGGTACAGGTTAGGTGTTAGGTTCCTGCTTGGTATTCGCAGAGCATGTGTATTCTCTCTTTCATAGCATTCACCAAATCATTTGCTGGATTAGCCTCGGCTGTTTTTCTTCTGACTCTCCCATTAGCCACTCCCATGAAGACATAGATTCTATCTGTTTTGTTCAAAGTTTAATCCCCAGCAGCTGGCCCAATACCTAGAACACAGTATACATCCAGAAAGTATTTGCTGATGAGAGTCTTGAATAATATATCACATGAAATCGCTTTCCCAAAGTGAGTGGGGTATCCTAAAGAGAAAAACATTTCTTACCTTGTATTTAAATCCAGATGTGGGTTTTCCCCTTTCTCAGCCTTTTTGGTTGTTTTAGTTATCAAGCAAAGATGATTTCCTTATTGAGTGAGGTAGAGACAGGGACAGTACAGCAGAGACAGAGACGAACAGTTCCAGTGTCCAGTGAGAGCAGACTTCACTTTCTCACCAGGTTCACACAGCGTGGGGGCCTAAAAGCCTCTATGATGTTTCCCCTGGAACTGCTCTTTTCTTTGATTTATGACTAGTTTGAGATGGAGCCAATAATAATGTGCATTCCAAACTTCTGGTACACTCTGGAAGGTTGCAGATAGATTTTCTATGTGCATTAAATACATAATAATGATGGTCATTCAGACCTCATACTTGGCAGACTGTACATTGAAGAGGACCTGTTTCTTATTTGGCAGTTCAAACCACCTGGAGTGACCAATAAATTCAAAGGGATTCTGTGTTTGACTTTCTCCAAGTAGATTCTGAGTAAGATAAGAACAAGAGTGGTCTATTCATTGGTTAGTAACCACTTTAATCTGTGAATTTCAAAATTAAAGAACCATCTGTAATCCTACCGCTTTGAGAGGCCAAGACAGGGGGAAATATCTTGAGGCCAGGAGTTTGAGGCCAGCCTGGGCAACATAGCAAGACCTCATCTCTACAAAAAATAAATAAATAAGTAATTAGACAGTGTGGTGGGCCTGTAGTCCCAGCTACTCAAAAGGCTGAGTCAGGAAGATCACCTGTGTTCCATGGCTGAACCCTGGAGTTTAAGTTTATGGTGAGCTACGATCGTGACAATATACTCCAACCTGGGTGACAGAGCTTGTCTTTAAAAAAAAAAAAAAAAAAAAAAATTTAAAGGCCAAAGTACAAAGAAATCCACCATCTTACTCAGAATAGATTAAGGAGAATGTTTTCAAGGAGGTGATTAAAACTAAAGATCTTAGCTAGCAAAGCCTAGAGAAACTTTTAATTCCTTTCTGAGAAAACAAATTGCCTAAATTAAACAATCACTCCACCAAAGGCATTGAAAGGTCACTTTCAGCAGATTCCTTTTGTCAGAAACATCAGTACCAATTATTTCTGGTGTGCTAGGGATACTAGTTACCTTGTAAGAAGGAAAAACAAAACAAAACAAAAAATGAGCAAGCAAAACAATTGTTTTGTCATATTTCTGGAGACAGCGTATCTTAAATCCAGCAAACAGACCCTAGAAAAACAGGAAAAATCAACCTTTTTAGCACTGAACTTATGAACCTAATCATGAAGCACGACTCAGATTGGGCCTTATTTAGAGTTATCTAGGTCTTGGGCATTCTGATTCCTCCATCTGCTAGGTGCAGAAGTGGTATGGTCAAATGCAAGATTCAAGTCAGGAGGCCCAAATTTAAATCTAAGCTTTTACACATAACTCAGGCATGTTATCAAATGTCTCAGAATTTAAGAACCTTCCTCTTCAACAGGAAGATAGCGATATGCATAACACCAGGCTATAGTGGCATTGAATCTATCTAATCTTTTAGATTAATCTTTTAGATTAGCCTATTAAAGGGTCATATACACAGTGTGTGAACAGCAAATACTACGGTAAGAAATGAGCTGTGTACACTTGACCAACTCACTCCATTTCTCTGGATTTCAGTTTCCTTACCCATAAAATGGGAAATAACTAATAACAATCCCTTAGACTACACAGAGACTTAGGGGCAGAAGTGTTGGCGGTGAAGACACCAGAAGCAAAGGGGCCAGACCTTCAGCCTCCCCACTGCATACTGTTCACAGGACAGTCAAGGCAGGGCCTTCATCTTCATCTGCAGTTTTTTGTTTTTTGTTTTTTGTTTTTTTTGAGACGGATTCTCGCTCTGTTACCCAGGCTGGAGTGCAGTGGTGCGATCTCGGCTCACTGCAACCTCCCCCTCCTGGGTTCAATTGATTCTCTTGCCTCAGCTTCCCAAGTAGCTGAGATTGCAAGTGCATGCCACCATGCCTGGCAAATTTTTGTATTTTTAGTGGAGATGGGGTTTCACCATGTTGGCCAGGCTAGTCTCGAACTCCTGACATCAGGTGATCCACCTCTGTCAGCATCCCAAAGTGCTGGAATTACAGGCGTGAGCCACTGCACCTGGCCTCATCTGCATTTTTGTGTGTGCTTTAAACGAAACAATGTATAGAAAGAACTTAGATGACACATTATATTATAAAATAATAGCAATTCTTGATATACTGTTCCATAAATTTCATCTTTTATAAAACAAATACATATTTCTTAGTTAACTACTGTTTAAGCCCTAGATTCACACCTTCATTAATTAATCAAGCCGTAATTAATCCTGAAGCTGGCTCCCTCCAGGGTGTTGGTCCTGGTGTTTTCCTAGGCCTGCCGAGAAGAGAAATGGACAGTGACCCTCCGATCAGATGAAATTCCAAAGAGAGTCTCCACTGGACTCACACTCAAGCTCCCTGCCTCCATCTCTAGAGAACTGCAAGTAAATTCCTTCCCAGAGCGTTGGGAGCCTCAGCTAACAACACGGGGATTAGAGAAATGGATTAGTCTGTCTCCTGGCTTCTCTTCTAGGAGAGAAGACAATCTGCTATAGAAGTACCAAATATGAAGGTTTCACATCTACTTCGCATCTTTTTGAGTTGCTTTAGCAGCAACCTGAAAAGCTCCTTCACTTATGCCCAATACTGCAAAATGTTGGGCTTGTGAATTTAGAAACACTGTCAACACTTTGCTGCAGGTAGATATTAACTGATATCAAATCACCACGGAATGTCTATAGAAATGAACCAGACGCCTAAGGCTTTCTGACTGAAGAAAGGTAAGCACAACGAAATAATTAGATATGATTTGCCATTTCTTTACAAATGTTGCTACATACTCAATTCAGCAGCATGTGGTTTCTCACTTTCATTATTAGCTTGCTTGTATTCATTGTGTCTAGCTCTCTGGAAGTGGTTTTGTAAGCCCTTGAAAATCAAATAACGCATTATTAAAAATCAATTTACTAGGTTAATCATAATGCTTTTTCATTATGGTGTGAACCTGTAATACCAGCTACTCGGGTGGCTGAAATAGGAGGAGCACTTGAGCCCAGGAGTACAAGATCAGCCGGGGCAACATAGCAAAACCCTGTCTCTAAAAAAAACCTAACATAAAAATAACATAAATAATGCTTTTCTCAGCACTAACAATTCAACTGAAATGTGGCTCTGTAACAATACTGAGAGAATGCAGGACTTTCAAACATCTTTAAGGAAGAAAGTGGGTACCCTGGATTTAGACATGGAGTTATCACTAGATATTTAAGGAATATATGTAAATTCCAAAGTTACTTAAAATGCCTCTCTACCCAACAAAGTTGAGATCATGGAGAAGATATATGTGCTACTTACCAATATTTCTAGCTTCCCTCTTTTAGGACAAGGGAATATTATATTGTCCTACCACCTTCAAATTATTAACAGATGTAGCCATGTGACTTCTTTAGGCCACCAGAAGGAAGGGTTTCATTTCTAACATTCTCCTGACCTGCCTGGCTACCAGTAAAGCACACACAGCAGACCCATCACATGAGTGAGGGCTGCCCTTGAGAATCACTCAGCCATTTAGCACACTTGACATGAGCAGGAGAGAAACTCTGTCACTTTACAACACGGATTTGTTTGCTTCCACAGCATGGCCTAGCCTTTCTCACCAGTGCAGAGTCCACCAAGCCCTACCATACCAAGCTTCTTTGGGTCCCTAAGCATGTCCTCAATATTGTCTATTCACTCTTCTCACTACTCATTCTGTTCTTCTGCCTCCCTTTCATAAGGACCCTGATGTATACATTGGGCCTGCCAAGATAACGTACCCCATCTCAAGGTCCTTAACTTAACTGCATCTGCAAACATCCTTCTGCCATATAAAATAACATTCTCAGCAGGTGTCTTTTAATATCTTATCTCATCTTGCTCCTCTACCATTACACACCCCTTCTCACCCTTGGCTAGCACAGTGTCTTAAACATACATCCCCATTCATTTATTCAATGAATGCTTAGTTCAAAATGTATACCATATCAGAATCTCTGCTTTATCAAAAGCCCAAACAATATGGTTAATAAAGCTACGCACACACAAACATACACACAAAGAAAAAGCTAATGCACCCCCTAAAACAATACTAGGTAAGAAGAAAGTTGCTCAATCCAGGCTGTCAAAATTAATGGGAAAAGGAAGTAAACGATCCTCTCATACTGACACTCAGTAGTAAGTCCTTAAGAAATATTTAAAAATGCATCAAGTCTATGATTCTTTGCAGAAGCCCATGTATTGTATATACATATACCAGCAGTTAGTATATATGCATGGAATCAATCATCAATAGCTCAGCAGAACCTAAGCCATATGTCTTCTTGCAGAGAGTTGCTTATTAGCTGTCTTTCGTTCCTTCCAAATTAGACAATTCGAGAAAGGTAGAGACAGTTATTTCATTCTTCTCAGTTCTATTTCTGCTTTCTTAGTGCCTTCATATTCATCAATTCACAAGGGCCCTGAGGCAAGAAAACAGAACAAAAATCTCTCTTTAAACATGTGATCTCTCAAATCTGCCAAACTTGGTGACTTCATGGTAATTGTTTCAACCACTTTCTTCTGCTGACCCAATACTTGATATGCCATAAGATTGAAGACATTCTCTTTTATCTGCTGTTCAATTTGCTTGCTCTCCAGCCACTTACATATAGTTTTCATCATTTTTTTCAGAAGTACAACCTTGAAAATTCTAGGATCTTCCAATGGTGAGTTTAAACTAACTTGAGCAACTATCTATGGGGCTTCTAATTATCCCATGAGTGAATCCAATAATTGATTTGAAAATAAATCTCAACCACAACAATACAGTTTTAGCTCAAGTGCAGGTTCTGAAGTAGAAACTAAAAATATGAGACTAAAGTATTATTTTAAGGGGCTATGATAGGGAGAAAATGGTAAAATGTTTTTGCCACTGACAAGAACTACACAGGGGTTAGCAGCCACATAGTGGCCTGAGGCCTCGGAGGTGATGGCCTCCCTGGCTGAGGCTGTGAACTAGGATCAGCTGAGCCACAACAGTGAATCCCACAACATTCTCTGACACCTCAGACTAACCCCCTGCTCCTGTAGACTTTCTGCCCTTGAACTTCACAGCTGCTCTCATCTCCTTTCCAGGTTTGTCAGTTCTAGGTTTTCAGCTCACTTTATTCCCTAGCTTAGCTTCTGTTTCTTTATTCATAAAATAATGTTAGAAGAATGAATAAGGAAACATATGTAAAGCATGAGCATAATACCAGTATACTGGATCACAAAAAAAAAAAAAAAAAAGGTTACTTGGTTAATTCATTCATGTAATCACTAAATGTATTGAGGGCTTAATACGTGTAAGTCTTTCCAGTGGGTGTGGGAGATGTGACCAAAAAGTCACAATGCTTATCCACAATTATTCCCTACTACAGAGCAGAGTTTTTGACCCAGAATCTATGGAACTCTAGGGTATGGATATATATAACTTCAGAAGGTCTGTGAACTTTTGAAATTGTGAGCAGAATAATGTTATGTTTATATGTGCTTTATGTTTTATAATAATAATTATTTTTTGAGACAGGGTCTCACTCTATTGGCCAGATAGGAATGCAGTAGCATAATTACAGCTCACCACATCCTTGAACTCCTGGGTTCAAGTGATGCGCCCGTCTTAGTCTCCTAAGTAGCCAGGACTACAGGAGTGTGCCACCACCCATGGCTATTTTTTTTTTTAATCTTTTCAATAAAGGTCAGGTTTTGCTATGCTGCCCAGGATTATCCCAAGCTCCTGGGCTCAAGTGATCCTCCTGCCTTGGCCTCCCAATGTGCTAGGATCACAGGCACGAGCCCCACATCCAGCCAAGAGTACTTTTCTAAAGAGAGAAGGTCCATTTCTTTCAACAGATCCTCAAAGAGATCTGTATTATGGTCATTCTTGGTTTTCACCTACCCAGCGTGCCTCTCCTGATAACACAACACATTCCTTCCCCTTGGAGAAGTACCATTTGCCATTCTCAATCGATATGGTTTGTATAAGGGCCAATCCCACCACCTGCCTCCAGGATCAGCCCTCATCCAAACCATATGGATTGAGACTAGCCAAGCTGGGCCAAACAAAGCAAAAAAGACATATACTTCCCAACAAAGCTTCAAAACTTGTAGAATTTAAGCCATAAATGTTTATAGCCATCTTTGCCATCATATGAGGAAGCCTGCCTAAAATAGAATAAGGAAGAAAGCTAAGTCGAAAGCTGAAGAAAGGCAAACTTATAGAACTTTTGTTGGAAGACTTAATTTCAGCCAGAATTGAGGTCAATTCCAGCCTGGGACTTTTTGGTTACATAAGCAATAAAGTTCTGTTTTCCTGAAATCTGTTAGAATTGTCTTTGTCTCCTTTTCAGTGAGAATCAATCCTGCTAATTCAGTTTAAATCTCCCCTACCCACCTCCCCCACTCACCAACAAATAAGCAAAACTCCTAGTTTATTGTCCCAGATACTAAGCTATCCAATCCAGCCAATCATAAGGCTCATTACTTTTTGTATCCTGAAATACAAACTCCACCCCACCACCAGGCCACAGTTTGCCATGCCCCCTCATTTTACTTTATCTCCACATCCACTTCTTCCAACCTTGCAGAACCCAAAAACAGAGATCATGTTTTCCTCTAATTGACTCTGAGCCCCTTACAGAATCACAAAAGCACCAAAATAGTTTCCTCCATGTGTTTTCCCTCCATCTTCAATATGTCAAAATGATTATACATCCTGTGCCCCCAATCAACATAGTAGCATTCAATATTTGGTACGCTCTGAATACATATTTGTGGAATGAGTAAAATAAGCCATGCTGGAACTTTTTCTGTTGTTCTTGAAAGAAAGAGAAACTGCCAGAATTGGAGCTTGATCCGGGGGCTTCCCAGGGGACCAACCTATAGGGAAGAAGATGTTGGTTTCATAGTTACTTGGTCCATTATAGTTTACAGAGGACAGTGCACACAAAATCAGAAAAGCAGTAAATGTGAGGCAATAGCTAGTTTCACTTTGAGAGCACAAAATTTAAACCCCACCCTAATGAAATTATAATACAAGAATAAAAAATGAAAGTTAATATATGAAAGCAAAACCAATCATTAAAATAAAAGGATGCGATTGAGGCTATATTTTCTCATGAAAAATCTCGTTTATGATATTTAATGTGATTTAAAGGATTTTCAAAACACTTAGTACAAATCTCTATTTAAATATTAATGTTTAAAAAATATTGCAGCCTAGGCAGCATAGTAAGACTCTGTCTCAAAAAATATATATTGCAGATTGTTCACTTATGTTACAACGTATACTGAAGTGGGAAATTCCCCGTTGACAAAATATCTAGAAAGTATGGCACTAAACTATACACATACACACACACACACACACACACACACGCATTTGGATTAAAGGAATGAGCCTATTTAATGAAATGGACTATATTTTATCATGATATGTAAATAGCATTTCAGTTATAGAAAAAACACTACAAAAATCACTAGAGCAACTTTTTTCATTGCCAGACGTGAACATAAGGTGCATATTTTTGCAACTGTGTTTTTTAGAAAAGAAGAAGTAAAAGAAGAACCACCTGCACCTAGATGGCAATTCCCCACCACAGGGGGAGGGAGGCAGTGTTCGCCACTGCGCACCGAACAGGATGCTTAGGAAATCCCTGCGAGCTCTACAGGAAGTGAGAACACACAGAAATGCAAAGCTCCAATAATCCCTCACATATCACAGACTCCTCTAAATTTCCAATGGATGTTTCAAGAGTTGGTCCTGATGAGGTGGGAGGCGGAGACCAAAGGGAAGAGAAAAGAAAAAAAAAAAAAAAAAAGGCCATTTATGGGGCAGCTGAAAGGACATGGAGGTACAGAGGCAGAAATGGTGGGAGTGACGACATATGGGGCAAATGTGTCCAGACCCTCAGCCTCCCCACTACACCCACACTGTCCACAGGACTGTCGGGGCAAGACCTTCATCTGTGTCCTCGGGTTGAGGGGTTGCCTGCATGATCTGAAAGAGAAGTGTGAAACTCCAGAAGGGAAAAAAATGCCTCATTTGAAGGGAACTTCCCTTGCCAGTGAGGTTTCAGATCATGTTCTGTAACAGCATACTGGCCTGTGACAGGGCTTCCAGGAAATGAGACAACTCAGACGCAAAGTACTAAGGGAAAAATGTCAGTAGTGGCTTGAGAAAACTAGCTGTTGAGTCTGACAAAGCAAAGTTCTAAGATAGTGCGAAGTATAACTAGGGCTGCTTTGAAAAGGAATCCCAGAGAGCAAGGACTGGTGTTGCTTAGTTTTAACAAATAATTAGAGCTTCTGTTTATCGAAAGCCTACCATGTGTCAGGAGCCTTGCGTGCCTTATCTCTTATTCTTACATCAGATGATATGAAATTGACATTATTATCCCCATTCTCATCTGTAAAGTGAGAAAACGTACTCAGATAAATTAAGTAAATTAGCCAACATCACGCAGTTCCAGGGCCACGATTCAAGCCAAGGTCCATCCGATACCAATTACCATGCTTCTGCCTTGACCTTTCTGTCATTAATTCATGTGGTTCACTGTGAAAGTCACAGACTTCTTTAAACCTAGATTTCCCCTTATGACATGGTACAAGTAAACCTAATGTTAGATAAAATCATAGCCTATGATGAGCTCATTTAAGCCTCAATCTGTCTCTGTCACTAACCAATTCTGTGGAAAGGAACAACTCAAGTAACTTCTCTGGGTCTCTGTGTTCCCATCTAAAAAGTGGGGTTGTAGTGGGCCTCTACAGCTCTTGACTTCTATGAGGCACACCGAGTCCTCACATGCCAACATAAAAAAGGAAATTTCAAAATTGTCTTTGTTTTTTAACAAAGTATATGAGGGGAATATTCCAGTTCTCTACGAATAATATATATATTTAAAGAGCCTACGTTTAAAACATTAAAATGCTTTAAAACATTTTCTAGATGACCTTACGAAAGGAAAAAAAAGTATTCCTAGCCAACCCTTTGTCAGCAGAAAGGCCACACAGAAAAAAGCAAATCACCATTCTTTACCCCTCTCAGTATAAATCATTACTCACCGTGGGAAAATGATTACTTGCCAGGAAGTAGGGCCTATGAATCATTATACTGTTGTCCTCGACCTCTGATAGAGCGAGAATTAGGGGAAAGACTGAAAAGCTGAGGTGTGAACTCTGCTTTGCCAATAGTTCCACTCATGGCATCATAAAGCAATGAAAACAGAAAGCTGATCGAGCCGTAGGGCTGTCAAGTCCTGGTGCTGCTGCACTGCACGTCTGAGCCCAGAGCAGAATGACATGGGCCCCTGACTTTCTGAGTCACTCCTTGGTTCTGAGTCCTCACAGCCCCAGAGTCGTTTATCAGCAAATACAAACAATGCTATCTCTGGGCTTGTCCCGACAGTCAGCCTACTTGTTAATGCCTGTGTAAGAGATACCC